GGCTAATAAGTCCCTAAGTCTAGAATTAGACTTATGGAGGTTGTGAGTGAAATTCTTCTAAGTGGTCGAAGGTGTGGTTAAATGACTAAAGTAAAATGGAAAATTTAGTTGCTTACACTCATTTTATTGGGGGTTTGAATGATTCTTGAGTGGAGGAACCAATTTTGCAATTTCTTACTGTCACTCTATGGTGGTGCTAGAGATTCTTGAGCTATAACAACCGATCCGACATCCAAAGCAGCAAGAAACCTTGACATGTCGCTAATGCTGTGGAAATCCCAATCGCCCTTGATCAAATCTATATAACTCTTCCTTCACATAACCCTAAATCTCATAATTAGGTTTTGGACTTGAGGGCACCACCAGGAATCAAAAGAACTCCCTTCTTATTTTTTGCCATATCATTTGAGCACATGCATTCCTTATGGTGCCTTATTTGCTTAATAGATGCAATCTAGTAACTGTAGTCTACATGGTTTTGAGACCCTAAATTGGAGACACTAGCTGTTGTTGCCATCACAGAGAGATCCTAAATTAAGCAACTGATTAACCAAAAGTTAATCACAGTCATTGGCCTAACACTTTGCTTGTTTTTTGCCATGTCATCGAGCACATGCACAGATTTAATTTGTGAAATTGAACACCAGAATTATTTAAGAAATAACTATTAATTAATGAATATTTTATATCATATAGTAATTATTAGTCATAATAGCAATTTTTATGGCAAAAAACCTGTTTTACAGGTTAATTTTAAATAAGATTCACTAAAACTATAATCACATGTAAATGGACCAAGACAAAACTTTGTTCCCAAGGAATAACCTTTACTCTTTAGTTTGGAGTGAAGTTCATTCTTCTTCATAGTTTTTTTAATTTTCAATTGTACTCCAAATTAAGTTTGCTCCACCAGAGTGAAGTTTACTCCAACAAATGTACCTGGTCAAAGATAGTGAAACAGTTGGTCCATAGCATCCTCTTTGTGGGCAGTAAAGCCTTAAACGGACGCCCTTGACTTTGCTCTCAAGGGACCTCTCGTTTTGAATCATCAGCAGGAGGCTTGATCTTCGAAGCTATGTTTGCTCTTCACGATGGTATAGATGATAAAAAAAAAATACAAAGATGAGAATACTCACTTCTGCAATGTCGAGGAGTTTCATCAGCTTGCTTTTCTTAGTTCTTAGCACTCGGTGCTCGATTTTCGCTAGCTCAAGCTTCTTCGTCTCCATGTCTTTGCCACAATTTCTTTGACTATAGAAATCTTGCTCCACTTTGATGACTGGCTGCTGAATCACAAAGAGAAACGAAAAAATAGATTAGAGCTGTGAATCCACAACTCGCCCAAGCTGTGTATGAAATCGAAAGGCGTGGTGTACCATGTCTTTTTACGACAACATTGAAGCTTCTGGCGAACAGCTTCCATGCAAAGCGTGAACTTGGTCAGGCCCAGGAATTGCATATGGGCGGGAAAGTTTAAAAACACAAGGGCTAAAGGTATTTAGAGTTAATTAAGCTAAACAACTGATAATAATGCAAACCTGTTTATCTTTTTCTCTTGTCAGTCCTTGTTTTGACGGAAAGGATATGTGAAATCACTGGAAATCACCAACAGATCTTTCAGTTAAGGTGGGACGAATCGAAAAGAGCATGGAATGTTTGTTTTGGTGCTCCATTGATTATTGCGTTGGAACTGGCAGGTGTGTCACATAATCAAATCCAGGATCAAGTGAAAAAGGTAATAATATTTCATTTCAAAATGAAAGAGCTTAAAGAACACGATCAAAGCGAGAAAGGTAGCATGAAAAACTTTCACTTAACTGATTGTTCAAACCGGATGCGGCGGAGCAGATGTTCAAACCGGGGATCAACTTCAATCGCAAGAACCGAGCGCCCGGAATTCCATGCTGCTCGAACCATGGATCCGCAACCCGCAGTAGCATCAACCACTGCTCCATCCGGCGGGCAAAAGAGCTCTAACATTACTTGCATCGCAAACGGTGACCGGTAACGATATCCAGGATACAGCTCGGCCCTCAACTCGTCAACCACATTTGGTATAACGTCCGTGCCGCTGTCGTATCCAGGCAAAACTCTGGCAGCGCGATCGCAATCTCGTTTTCCCGTTCGCCCAGCTCGGCAAAGCGCGAAGTAAGTCCAGGCAAATACCTGCATTTTCAACTGTGAAATCCACGAACTTATCAACTTTTGTTGCTCTGTACCTTCAGCTTGTGACCATCACCTTGCAAAGTCTCGATGCCGATGTTGTTCACGAGGCAGCCAGTCGCAAACTCCGCAAATCGAAACGATTTCGCCACAGTTGCAAGCTCTCCTGCCCAGGTCGAAGATGGTGGAAGAATGAAAAGAACCGTGCCGGAGTCTGTGAGCAGCTCGTTTGCCACCTCCATGGCCTTGGAGATATGCTCGCTGGTGAGAACGTTCCATGGAGAGATTCTTCCATCGATCCAAGGGAGGCCGTCGGGCATGTCGAAGAACACGAAGTCCACCAGATTGCAATGGAGGCCATCGAAGAGCATGAAGTAGCTCGCCAGAATGGGATCGTTTCCTCCTCTCAAATCTCCGATCCAGCGTCTAAATGCTCGACTCTCGAAGGAATGAGCTTCCAAGAGCTTCATGTAATCTCCTATCAAGACGGTAAATTTTGCGAGTGGGTTTTCACGAGAACTTGGATGAACCTGGCACTCCAAGAATGAAAAACAGAGGACATAAACGAAGAACTAACCATCCTGTGTGAAGTTTTAGAGAAGTGTATGAAAGCTTGGGTTCTCTTGTTTACCTCCAATCCTACTTATCAAGGGAATTAGAAAATAAGAAAATCTGTGTAAGTTACGTACCTGTGCCAAGGTCACGAGATTTGGGACGACATTTTTTCTGTTTTCGAATTCTCGAAGATCCAGTCGAATCTAGAAACCATTCCAAAACTTTTTAATTTATCTCAAATGCCATCGATTACCTGGATGGAAACGTTGGTAGATTTTTGCCTCGAAATCTGTTTTTGGTCTCTTCGCAGGAAGCTCTAGATACCAGGGACACAAAACTTTCTCTCCTGGCGAGCCAAAGTCGAATCCCGACTCATACATCCCAGAGTTTTGCTGTGATCCCGCCAAGAGCTGCTCAAGCACTGCCTCGGAGTACGCTGGTGCATCACCCGAGTTCGTAAGATACCTGTGAGATATAGAAAGCGTGTTTGTGTCCTTCGAAGAAAAAACAGAAGAAAGTTTTACCTGTAAACAGCTCGTTTCGCGAAGAAAGGTTGTCCAGGTTGATTCTTCGAAGAGCTCGATGAATTCTCCGGTAACCATCCATCGCCCAAGAGCTCTAAAGACTCACGGACGTACTCCGCGAAACTTACTCCAGTGGCCGCCGAGTAAAGATAATGTTTCCACGAGGCCAGAAGCTCCTCTCCATGCTTGATTGTCTGATCGATGTAGACTTTGTGCCTCATGAAACTCTCGATTTTACTCTCGAGAGAGCTCTCGTTTTGGATCATCAGTTCGTTGAGATGCTGGAGGGCAAGAGGTTTGATCTTCGAGGCTAAGGTTGCTCTTTGCGATGTTATAGATGATCTCCACTGGTGCCTTGGCATTCCCTACACAGAACAAAAAATTTATAAGAAGAGAAAAATATGAGAAGACTCACTTCCACGAGCACACATCTCGGCAATACAATCGAGCCAGTCTTGGTTGCGATTGACATCTGCGATGTTGAGGAGTTTCAACAGCTTGGTTCTCTTAGTACTTCGTACTCGGTGCTGGATTTTCAGTAACTCAAGCTTCTTCGTCTCGTCGTCTTTGTCAGAGTTTCTTCGAAGATAGAAATCTTGCTCCGCCTTGATCATCGGCTGTTGAATCACAAAAAGTAGAACACTTTAGTTTAGAGCTATGAATCCACATAAATTTTACTTACTCTTGCCCAAGCCGTGTGTATGAAATCGAAAGGCATGGTGTACCATGTCTCTTTACGACCACGTTGAAGCTTCCTGCGAACATCTTCCATCCATTCTCTTCCATACAAAGCGTGAACTTGGTCGATGGTCATCAGGCCCAGGAATCGCAAGTACTCGATCTCATGGACGAGCGTATGAGCTTGAAATGCAAACTGGCTCAGTCTGGTGGATAGAAAGCTCAAGAGTTAGCAAAGTGGTGAGGAAAAACGAGAGAAAAGAAGCTCAAGAACAATGAAAAGAAGAAGCAAACTACTTACTCGTTGAGTTTGTGGCAGGCACTCTTGAGCTTGAGCAGCTCTTTCTCGTCTCTGGCAGCGATCATCACCACCGGGACCTCGATATGCCGCTCGAGATCACCCGAGAAACGATCCTGGATACACTTCATCCACGCCAGCAACCGGTGGTTTCCATCCACCACGAAGAACATCTTCCCAACCAGATACTTCGTCCCGGGGTGTTGATCCAAAGCTCGGTCGAAAGCCGCCGATTTCCTCCGCCAGATCTCGTCCCACGAGTCTCTGGCGGTGCTAGTCACCGCCTCCATCCTCGTCGTCCCGGGAGCAAACGGTGAGACGATGAAGCTGGAGCTTCCAGCGCTCGCGACGAAGCCCAGGTTGGCGAAGGCGGTGTAGAGCAGTTTACCTGGCTGGCGCGGCGGACGAGATGGGTTTGCGCTAGCCGGCACAAGGGAATCGCCGGGATGAGCTCTCTCGGCCCATTCCATGCCAGATCGCTGAGAACTTTGTCTAGTGTTCTCTCTCGCGCCTGGAATACGGTGTTCTTCACACGATCGCCGATCAGCGCATTGGAATAGGATCCGGGCAATGCTTCTTCATCTGGAAACAAAGGAATCAAATAGAGATTTCGACCTAGAGACTCACGATCGCGATCGGCATTGGATGGATCTTCCCGCGGCCTCTTCTGTCAATAAGAAAGAAAGGAGAGGACAGATTTTAGCTCGATAGAACAGCGATCGAAACCACCATAGCTTTACCTTCGCCCACATTGCCAATTTTTAGGGCAATCTTGGCGGGAATTTTAAAAATGAAGGGCTAATATTAATCATATTTAATTAAGCTAAACCACTAATATGGAAAATCTATGATTCTTTGTCGAATCGCTCCCGCATTTTCTCCGCGAAGAGCCGAGTTTTCTCCTCGAATTTCTTGCCCAAGCTCAGCATTTTCTCGCGCCTCGTCCCTTTCTTCCTCTTGCTCTCGCTGGAATCCTCGTCGATCGCTCCTTGGAAATCGCCACTGCCTTCCATCATCGCTCCTGCTACTTCCCTGGCGGCTCGATGATCCCGCTCGATCTTCCTGTCCAGCAATGGTTTCTCCAGCTCGGACGTGCCACCGCTAGTTTCGCCAGTGATCAACCTTTCGTGCTCGTCCTTTACTTCCGGAGGAGAAGCTTCGTTCCTGTGATTGCTTCCTTCTCTCGGCTTCTCTGGCGGCTTTGTCTCGGCTAGATTTTGAGGAAACGGAGCAGCACTTTGCTGGACCCAGTTCCCATCGTCCGAAACCATCCAGCGAATGTGGATATCTTCGCTGTTTGGATACACCATAGTTTCGTGCACGAGAATCTGCAAACGAGTGGCTCGATCACTCAGCTTGATGGTAGTGGAAATAAAAAAAAAAAACAAAAAGAGGAACCTGGATTCGTTCGGCGATGTAAGTTATCAGTGGCCCTGTCGTGATCTTATGGTCCCCAACGGAAGGCTCGGGGAAGAGCTCTAGTGCCGGCATTGATGAGAAGGAGTACCAGATGCGGTCGGACGGCGATGCCTTTATTCGGAGCTGTAAGGTTCCCTTGATTGACACTACTCGCATCGACAAAGTGAGTGGAACCTGAGAAGAGCATACGAGATATCTAAGCCAAAGTTTTCCAGAAAATCCATCTCTCTGTACCTGGGAAACTTGATCAGCGACCGAAGACAAGAAAGCCTTCCATTGACTCCACCGCTTTCTTTTCGCGCTGCCTGGATCACCCAACATCAAAGCTTGCTCTTCTTAGGAAGGAGAAGAGGAAAACGATTTTCTTCTTACCTGAGCCCCCCTGATCTCCCGAACCTTCTCCAGCCACCTCCAAATCATCCTCCACGGTTTCCAAGCTTTTGTTTATAATGTCAGCAGTCGCTGCCGCTGCCGAGCTTGTGTCGTTTTTCGGTTCAACTCCAACTCGAGACTCTCTCATGTCCAGCCTCGTCTCGAGAGTGAGAACGGCACCACCGGTATACTCAATATCGGCTTCCACTCCAAAAGTGTCGTCCGAGAGGGGAAGAGCTCGGAGCCCGTGGACGACCGGGCAAGACTTGCCAATATCAACCCGAGAGCAAGTGATCGGGCTGATGTAGCTAGGAGTTGGAATTCTCGACAAGAGCGTCTGCAACACCAGTGGTCAAAAACATCTCCTTCCGTGACAGAAAAGTGTTATCGTATAAGAGGTGAACCTGGATCCGAGTATGAAAAACGGAGATGAAGTCCGAGCTGTGGTACAAGTCGAAGAAGAGCCGCGAGAGCATGAGATTCAGCGCAGCAACACTGCTGTCGGGGAGATGTTTCGCAGGGAGCACGTCAAACTCGGCACTTCCAAACTCCGTAGCGTCTGCCAGATTTCTGAACGACGAGCCTTCCATCGTACTATCTGAATGGTTCGCGTCCGACTCTCCCTTTGCTTGGTCGATTTCCTGGTAGCTATTGCTAGTATGAAGAAAAGGCTCCTCGGGCTTCAAATCTTCGGTCTGGACGGTCACGGCTTTGGTCCTTGCACCGTCGACTTTTTTCTTCTTTAGCAGTCGTTTCCACGACATGGATTTCTTCGTCGCGGGAGCACTCCCTCTGAAGTTCTTGCTGCTGCTAGAGCCGGCCTTGAAAACCTCTGGATAGTTTTGTTTGAGGCCAGTCACGTATTCCGCAAACTCATGCTTGAGCTTGGAGTACCAGTCGTCTGGCCCGTAGTCTTTCCTTGCAGCTGCACGAAGCGCCTCACACCATGTTTCTTTCTCCCATCCCGTTTTGAAGTAGAGCAAGCATACCGTGGTTCCCAGGAGAGTTCGACTGGAGTGCTCCACTTTGATAGGATATTTCTTGGCCCTGCAAGGATTGGAAGAGAAAAAGAGTGAAAAATCTGGATAGAAAACGCTAGAGCAAGCATGGACCAAAGAGCACAAAGAGAAAAACAATATAGAATGCCCAGATCTCAGGAAGTCTACGAAGATGGAAATAAAAAACACGTACCACTTCCTCGTTTCTGCTGCTGTGCTTGACACGGCCAGGACACTGCATCCTTGCAACTGGATGGAAGAAACCGCACCATCGCTGCCGGTGAGAATCAAGGTCCGATCTTGCAACTTGGCAAACTTGAGTGAAACGGAGATCTCGTTTTTCTGCTCGGTTGCCTTCTTTTGCTTTCGATCTTTGGGTAGCAACTTGGAGCTGTTCGCATTCTCTACTTGAAAAGGAGACACAGAAGCCACCCAAATTTCTCCCTGGAACAAGAAAAAAAAATCCCATCGTTTCATTCTGATTTTTATTTCGAGCGAAAGGAAACTCCTCACTCACCTCGATGGAGATTTTCGATGGAGAATTTGGATCGGCTTCCATGGAGAAGGACGGTAGAATCGCCGCTGCCGCTTTGTGGCGATGGCGGGGCTTGTGGACGAACAAGTACCACAGAACCGCAATCTCCACAACCCCTAAAGCCAGAGCTCCCAGCAAGAAACTGGCAATGTAGCCGATCACCATCGCTTGGCGCTGCGATGGACCAGACCTAGAAGAGGAACAAGAAGACGAACCGCGGAGACTTTCTCGCCGTTGCCCTAGCGATGGCGATGCCTGCTTACCAGCGCCATCGCGCACAGCTCCTCGTGGCGGGGCGGCATTGCGGCGTGGGCGATGGATGGATTGCTGCCATCGCTGGGCCGCCGCTTCCCCGATGGATCGATGATTCAGCGCCCAAACACGAGAAATGTATGCCTCGCTTAGAGGCGAGAATTGGCATCTCTGTCCAATGACACTTTTTATAAGTTACCAGATGCGAATATTTACTCGTTGCAAGCCCAGTTAAAATTAAAATATGTTTATAATTAATAAACCCGTGATTAATATAAAGACAATGAGAACCGTTGGATGTGCTAGCTTTTAATATACCAAAGTAGTACACATTAACATAATTTATAAATTTGTTTTAGTAAGAAGTCAGTATGTCCGAGTGGTTAAGGAGACAGACTTGAAATCTGTTGGGTTACACCCTCGCAGGTTCGAATCCTGCTGCTGACGCAAATTTTATATAATATTTAGATTTTAATAAACTTAGTACCTTCTATGTGAAGATCCCGGAGGAAGATCACATTCATACTTGTCTTGCTACAAAAAATACACATATCTTGGCCGCGCTGTCGATCAGCGAGCTTCTGATGAACTTTGATCCAAGTTCTAAGAAACCCAACTCGCTAGCACGCCCGGATCATCGCCAAGTTGATGTTGTTAGCCAGTTTGGCCACCTTGTGGGTTGTGGCGGCCTTGAATCGATCAACCCTAGCCACCTTGAGACTCTCCTCCACGGAATAGTGTCTCTCCCTGTGCTGCCTGGGAACATAGAAAGTGGGCAGCGCTCTAGGGCAGCTCTTCCTCGTCACCTCCGCCATCTCCACGTCCGCGTCATCGATCTCCATTCCATCGTACGCCATCGTCACTTCCATCGCACAATCCATTAGAAACCTAGGTTAGCCTTTCAATCTCTCGAGCTTTAACATATAAAAACGATTATTGTATCTTACGCCACATTTTAAGGTAGCGTATCACATAAAATGTAGAATGTATGTAGTTAGTATAGGATGACATTTTACGGGAATGTCGGGCCAAGAGTGGGACAAGAACAAAGTACATCGAAAGCTATGGTTTTGTTCGTGCTGGTGTTCTTGAGATCATTCTTTCACCATGATGTCACCAGCAAGAATCTTCATCGTGTCGAATGCTCGGGTTTGATGGAGAGCACCAACCAGCGATCCATTCCATTACGAGGAGCTGCGTGTTCTTCGCTTGGAAGCCGAGCAATCACCCCGGCAGCCATGCGTGTTGGGTCTGGGTTGCGCCACTCCCGGCACACTCCTATGATGTTTCGCCTCGTACAGCCACGAGGATCCTCGATAAAAAGCTCCAGCTCCTAAAGTTTCTCGCGGAAGTTTCAGTGGCAAACATGTTGAGAGCGCTGGCGATCTTGGTCGCCATCTCTGCTGCGTTGCAAGGTACGTAACCTGTGTAGAGATCTTGTCACCTCACTTGAGTTTTAGGATCAGCGGATGCTGCGAGAGGAAGAAACCAGCTCCAAGTGAGTGCTAGAAATTGACAAGGAAGCTAACATACTTATCATTGAGCAGAGCTTAACGAGGATCGGTGGAGCGCAATCTGGAAAACACCACTTGCAAGCGCGGTCTAGAAACCGAGAAAAACTTCTTAGCATCGAGAAGAGGCTACTACCAAAGACTGCTGCATCGCTATCTGGAAGAAACCATATCCGAGTAAGTTTCAGAGCGAGATAAACAAAACGAAACTTCTCCTTGCCTTTTGTGATCAGAACTTGTCAGCTAGGAGGACGCTGGAGCTTCTAGAACTGGCGCCTCCAGCAGTTCCATCCGAATCCAAAAGGCTCGTTCCAACGGGTCCCGATCCTCTACACCACAGCACGAGAACTGAGACGCTGCATCCAAGGCAACCTCTAGCGTGAGACAGCTCGAAAGAAAATATTTTCTGGCTATGGCATTAGCTGAAGTGTTCGAAAGCAAAAGAAAAAAAAACTTCCATCTCACGCTGATTGCGTCTCCTCTCACGCCCTCACAGCGTACTTTCTCATCGGGAAGTAAGCCTCCTTCTTCTTTTGCTTCTCCGTCTTGAGGGAAAGCTGCGAAGAAACACAAACGAGAAAGTTTTAAAGCTTCCACCTCTGCAATGGAGATTCTAAATTGTTTACCTGATGCTTTGTCAAGCGTCGCCTGATCGCTCGGGTCTTCTTTGGATGAAGATCCAGAGGCATGTACTTCTTGTTCTTGTAGGCCTCTCTCAGCTTGGCCTTCTGGGTCTGGGAGATTACTGTGAGAACTCGCGCGATCGAGAGCCTCACAACCTTGCTGGAAACACCGAAATTATAATCCGCTGGAAAGAATCGCGACAAAACACTCGAAAGACTCACATTTTGGAGAGCTTATTAGGGGCGCCTCCAGTGACTTTGGCCACGCGCAGCAAAGCGAGCTCGGATTTGAGATCCTTGAGCTGGACGAGCAAATCCTGCTTAGATTTCGTGCGCAGCTCGTGCACCTTGATCTTCACTGCACGAGAGACAAGGAAATCGATCGAACCAGTGCGAGAACGAGCGATCGAAGAAGAACATACCCATCTTGCGCCAATGCTCTCAAGAACCCTAAAAAACACAAACCCCTATCGAATATGCCGAATCGTTTTGAATGAAGGGTGAAAAAGGCGCACTGACGTGGCTCAATCCCGGCGCTCGGATGTATGCCATTTCCATCCAGGTTTCTTTTTTTAATGGCGGAGTTAAGTAAAAGCCCTAGAGGTGAGGGAAGAGTTTGAAGAAAGCGCCATCGCCAGGGCCTTTGATTTTTTGATGATGCTCCTCTTGCGTATCCCTAGGCGCCACGATGATTCCGATGATCGTCTAGAAATCCTTGGATGAATCAAAGATTTCTTGAATCTTTCGAGCAGCACAGGGGTTATTCGGCGATCGATCGATCGCTTTTTTCTGGAATCCCGAAAGATCGAGTGTGATTCTAGCTTGCGGAGCATTAATGGCGAGAATATCGATCGGGAGGGGGAATGCGGCAGCGGCGGAATTTCCATCCGCCTTTTCCTTCGATCAAGACGACGATATGGCAGATCCAAGCTCCTTGTTCGATTTCGATCTGGCTCTCCCTCTCGGCGGGCAGGATTTCCACCACCGGGCATCGTCAGCGGGTCACCGGCCATCGAAATCCTCCTCCGATTCCAAGGATTTCGATTTCAAGCTGTGCATGTCGACTCCGGATCTCCTCCAAGATCCGGCGTCTTCCTCTTCCTTGCGGAGCAATCTCATCTCCCCGGCCGACGAATTGTTCTACAAGGGCAAGCTCCTCCCTCTCTACATGTCAGAGCGCCTCCATCTCTCCAAGAATGTAGGCGCGGATTTGGAGAAATCCAAGCCGCCGAGCAGCAGCGATCACTCCTCAATCGCGGTCTCCTGCTACCTCCACCGCGCCGGCGTCGACATCAACATGGTCCTGGAGGAGCCGAGCGACGAGAGCAGCAGGGAGAGCTCCAGTAATTCTCGCGAGAAGGACTCCTCCTCGTCCGGCGGCGAGGAGGATTCGTCATCGTCATCGTCCGGGCAAGCGGCAGTAGCGAAGAACTCCAACACGGGCGGCGGCGAGAGTGTAAGTGGTCGTTTTAGATGGAGCCTTTTTTCGCTTGGTGGCGGTGGCGGTGGCGGTGGCGGCCAGAGAAGGAGCTCCAAAGTCACGGCCGGGGGAAAGAATTCCTCCTCCTTTTCCACTGGCTGCGATCAGCAAGGTGGTGGTGGTGGTGGTAGCAGCGTTTGCAAGTCGTGTGGGCAGAGGCAGGGAAAGTCCATGACCGAGGCCCGGGACTTTTCTACGTGGGAGAGAAAAAGGTTTGACACATTCTCGAGCTCGCCCCATGCCGGTCTTCACGAAACCAGGAGCCGGGACAAGTTTTTTATGCCGCGCCACAGCACTGGAGCGATCTCCTCGGGTGGGTTTGACGCGCCCACCAACAAACCAGCGGCGGCGTATCAAAGTCTTTTGAGGGCTAAAGAATTCTGGCGAAAGTACTTGAAGCCTTTCATCTCCAGGACGTCGCAGCATCACAGGTCGTATTTTAGGCCGCCAGAAGTTCCACTTCCAGCTGATGGTCTTGGCGGCGGCGGAGGATCCCCCTCTTTGTCCGACAAATCTTCCACTTCTTCATTGTTTTTCTCATCCGGGGGTTTCAAGGGGACCAGGCAAAGGCCCAGCAGATCGACCACTGTCACTCCGATAGCTTCACCGACACACAGTGGCGTGCTCCTCGCGGTCCCGGCTCCAGTCGCGAATGATCACGATGTGCAAGGGGCGATCGCTTACTGCAAGCAATCCCGAGCGAGCTGAGGAAAAGGTAGAAAAGGTTCGTCATTTGTTTTCCAAGCAGGATTTGGGATCTCCTACGTCTGATGGTGGTGGGGCTTTTTTCTAGATAGAAAGGCATCGCTGGAGGAAGAAAGAGTGGTGCCATCCATAGGTGGAAACTCTATGTTTTAGGAGGGGACCATGGCATGGCTTCTTTACCTGTGAGTAAGAAGCCTATAGCATTTTTTCTTTGTTCTTGTTGGTTTGCTGTAAGTACCAAAAAGAGTGTTGAAAATGTATTGTCTTTCTCTCTTTTTATCTTTCTTTTTCCTTTCTCTTTGTTTTTTTGATTGAGTACTGGTTGGTCTTGTCTCTTGTTGTGGCTCGCTTCTCGTCTCTTTTTTCTTCTTCTTCTATGGTGGTGGACTGACGTACGTGAGTGTTCCTTGGCAATCCAGCATGATGCAAGCGTTCCATGTGGAAGTTGCTCGCTCAAAGTGAACCAAGGAAGACCCCACTGTACGAGAAATCGAAGCTCGCTCTAGCCACAGAGAAAGAAAAGATGAGGAAGGAAAAAAGGGAGGAAGTATTGCTAAGGACCACGGACAAGTAAGATGAGAAGCTTTTTTGTTTCCTAGACGCACACTTATGCGCTCGTGCTCTCCTCTCATCGCTCGCTCACTCTCTGGCTTCGTTTGGTTTTGTTTTCAGGTTCCAAAGACTCTCTTTTTTTTTATCTTTCTCTGTTTTCATTTTGTTCCTTTTTCTCCCTTGATTGATCAATGCCTGCAGCTGCAGGTCTCTGTTTCCTCCAACCAACGAATTGTCCTGCGAGATTTGCAGTCGAGCCATCACCACATTATTTAGCTGCAGCAGCTTTTGTTGCTGTCCCGCGGCGGAGATCCTTTTTAATCTTTGAGGGGTAAGTTTCTCTAAGTTGGTGCTGTGTTTTGACATAAATATTCATCCTTTGTATGTGATAGACGTTGTCACTTATCATATGCTGTACGCAACAGCGAGAGCACACTTGAGAGCACACCGGTGTTTAAAACGTCAGCCATCGCCTTCTCTACAGGAATGTTGGTTGAAAAACTAATAAAAGTTCCATGACTGCGTATAGTAAGTGTGCAGCCAGACCGCTGTGATGGAGGAGTCGTCGGCCTCCCCGGCATTGACACTAAAGAAGACAACGAAATATGCATTTCATGTGTAAGTATTCGAAGGCTTTGATGCTCTTCGTGTCTCAGAAAGCTTGGATTGGATGATGCCTTTGGAGACGATTATGTGTTTGTTTGTGCATGCAGGCAGGGAAAGAGATGTGCCAAGAAAGAGATGTGCTCGGAATTGACAAATTAACAGCTCCAAGCAGATTGTTGGGCTTGTAACTTCAGTGCTGCTGCGTGCCGAGGTACACAGCCTTGTCCTTTAGCTTTGCATTATTCAAACGCTGCCGCTTGAATACCTTTTTATCGGCCCAGCACAGCGACAAGATGACATGGGAGGGACGAGATTAAGAGCGACCAACGTTCTCCTAAGCGGCCGAGAAAGAAGGATTTTCAAAGGTACTACGTGTATAGCCAACTTAAAAGTTTTTCCTGTGCTTGTTTTCTTCCGCGGTTTTTTAAAAGTGGAACCGGATTGCTATGACACGCTTGAATTTCTTCCACAGGTTCTCTTCTGGAAAGCATGGAAATATCCCAGACGGCGGACACGATTGGTGGTGGCAGTACCTCGCTCGATCACGGACTTGTCTCATCGTCCCAACGCAAAAGCTGCCTCACACTCTCTCCCGTGAAAGGAAGGAGACGTAAGGGCGGAGCGCTTGAATTTACGTGCCATTTGCGAGCCAGGCAAGCATCCAAAACCTCGGAAACGACAGGGGGAGCATGGAAGTCACTGCAGCGTGGCCGTCGTGCCCGTGGAATCGCGATCTTCGTCCGGCTCAAACAGAATCAATCTCTCGAATCTCGTCGACGTTGCTGCTGCTCCCTCCGATCGATTCGATGGTAAGCAGCGAAAAAAGATAATTTTTTTTTTTTTTCCTTTCGCCACACTCCTGGTGAGCTTTTCTGATTTCTTATTCTTATGATCTCTCTCGTGTCTCGTGGAAGGTTTTTACTAAAGCGTACTTTTTGGTGTTTGTTTGCTTCCCAGGAAAAGCCGAGAAGACGAAGAAGAAACAACACAAGCTCCGCGCGCTCGATATTTTCATGCATCGCTCGTCGTGTTGCCGATCGTCTTCTCGGAAAGATTTGCCAGCAATAACTGAAAATCTCGGCGTAAATGCGATGTGTCCCTGGATTCCGCGGCACTGGCACTGAAAACTCTGGAGCAAGGCACTGTGGCCACTGGTGGAGCTGCTGGCAGTGTTTGAGTTTTCTGGTCTTGGGATGGATGGATGGATTGGAGGAGGAGGAGAAAAAGGCCGAGAGAAGTTTTTAAAGGGGGGCGAGCAGGCAAGAACAGCAGGAATAGAAAAACAAGGGAATGTACGTACGCGGCGCTGCAGAGAACACAATTCCATGAACGCACGGAGGTGATTTTGATTGATGAGTTGATTGTAGCGAAAAAGAAAGGAAAAAAAAATCCGGGGCCACGCTCGCGAGTTTTTTAAAGTTTTTACGCTGATGATCGAAGCTAAAGTTTGCTTTGTGAGAAGAAGAGTTATTTTTTTTGTAAAAAAAAATTCTTTCGTTGTCAGTCACGCGGCTGCTGCTGCTACTGCTACTGCTGCTGGCTGAGGATAGATTCAAACAGAGTGACCCTTTTTCACGACTTTCAAGCGTGTTCTTGGCGGCGTTGAGATGAGCGTGTGATTGATTGATTGATCGTAACGGAAAATTGAGGCACACGCACTGCTGCTTGCTGCTGGCGCTGGCCGAGAAAATCATGCGGCCATGTTTCCATGAGAATTGCATTGTGAAAATGAGGATATTATGCTATAGACATCTTACAACTCTTAAGTTAGGGTTCTAACAGGCTCTTGAGTCTCCCCAATGGCATGAAAAAGATGGTGGACAACGTCCTCTACACGAGGAAGGAGAGATCCATGGAGATTCCCATCGTCGTTGTGGAGGTGGAGTTCTACAATGAGTCTTACGACAAGCTAAAGGAAAACGTCAGGGAGATTATGAAGCTGGACAGAGCGTCAGCTATGAGGAGGAGAGTGGAGGAGTGTGGTTCCAGGCGTGTGTTGGATATGGCGGAGAGCTCCGAGGGTATCCTCGGCTGGGTGCTTTGTTGTTCCCACAGATACCATCTTCAAGGATGTGCCAGATCTGCCCACGAACATCTGGGATGTGTATAAGTTCCCTCTTGGATGTTGTGGAGTTTGCAAGCTCTGCAGGCTTCACGCATAGTAGATCACTTCAAGCAATGTTTGCTCTTTTCCAAGCTTATGCTTTTTAGTTTTAAGGCTTCTACAAAGATGAATCGTTCTTCGAGATTTTGCTCATCAGTGATTTAAACTATCTACAAATTATTATTTTAGACTGGCCTTGACAATAATGTTAACTTTTAGCAGTTAACTAGGAGCAATTCTTCTCCCAGATACCGAGTTGAACTCCCCTATTTAGAGGAAATCCCAGTGCCTGCAACCATTAGCGCGAGCAAAGCCACTTGCATTTAAAAGTGTTTAGTGTGAGGCTATGATAGTCAGTGTCTTCCATGTAAAGTCCAATATTTTGGTAGCTACTAAATTAGTGCTGTTATTTGATGATAAGGGAGTCAAGATGCAATATTTGTCCTTTAATACTTGGTTGTGACCAGTTTAGATTGGATATTGATAGAATGGTCAAAACATTTGTGATTGAGTATAATAGTAACACACATTTAGCTAAATGTAAAATAAGATAATAAAGGTTAATATATATATTGATAGATTAACCTTTATTAGATTGGATATTGATAGAATGGTCAAACATTTGTGATTGAGTATGATCGTAACACACTAAATATCATTGTTTAAAACAAAACACAAATAGATTTAGCTATTAGCGCGAAAGAGAGCTATCTCTTCTACTGCGTTCTCGACGAAGCCGAATCCATGTTTCCGACTGACACGGCGTTGAAGCCATCCTTCGTCCAGGTGCATGCCTGTAGCCGCAGGCACGTCTCTCGCCGACGCCTTGAAGATGCTTGCCTTCGGTCCCAAAGGATGGACGCGAGAAGCTGAGCGAGCGCCTGGCGGGCGACACAGACTGCTTCTGCTTCACTCGAGCTGCTGGTACGATGATGATCGCTATGATCTTGTTTGTGTGCTTCTGACGTCTTTCTCAGCGCTGTGATCTTGCTCGTGTGTTCTTTTTTAGCGCTGTGATCTCGCTTGTGTGCTTGTGACTTCTTTGTCAGCACTTGACAGGAGCAAGGAGTGGGCCGCGGCTGTGTTGCTGCCGTTCCAGTTCTCCGTTTTGGACGTGGCCGGCTTGCGGAGAGCTCTCTCGCATCCGCTGCCACTGCCGCTGCCTGTTGGCTCTGCAACGTACGCGTAGCACGCCGGTGCCATGGCCGCCAACTTTGTTCCTCACGGCTCGTACCCAGCGGAGAGCATCTCGTCTCTCGATCAAACGACAAGCTGGACGCGTACAGCCTCCACGAGCCTTGCTGGAATCTGGCATTCTCCCACCTGTGGATGAGGCTACTCGAGCTTGCTGGGATAACGATCGTCGAGTTCAATCGCGTCCGGTCGGACAGTAGCAGTGGCCGGGATATGATGCTGTGGATGCAAAACCGCCTGTGTGCCATGTTCAAAGAGAAGGAACCGAAGTTGCAGCAAGCGTGCTCCAAGTTGGAAGAGAAGCTCGTCAAGCTGGACCGGCAGTTCTATGGCCTGGTGCCGTGGATGATCGGCGTGGGACTGGCAGGCCAGCGGATGGAGGCGTGGGCGTTCACGCACGGACAGAGGACGCCAGCAGAAGTTCTTGTCGGGCCTCTGGAACTTGCAAAGATCGAGGACAAGTTGACGTGCTTGCGCGTCTCTGTAAATCTCCTCCGGGTTGCGGTCTCGCTTGAGAACGTCTTCTTCCCTCCGGACCGTTCGCGGCTCATGAAGCTTTGGCCTACGTTCTATGGATCCGAGGACCAGATCAAGAGAACGCTCCGCTTCGGGAACGCTGTGGTGATTAAAGAGATAGATCCCTGGTCGGAGCATGTCGCTGATGGCTTCACGACGCTGGAGTTTGTCAAGAGAGCGCACGGACTCCGGGCCGAAGGTCTAATCTCTGGCGTGTTGGCGTTCGAGGGGGACAAGTACAGAGTCACCATGAAGGAACTGCAGGATCAGCCGCGAGCTTCTACCGAAGTGGAACTTCTCGATGCTGTTCACTGGATTCTTCGCGGCCTGGAGAAGTTGCATGAAGCGGGGCTTGTTCATCGGGATGTGAAGTGGAGGAACGTGATGAGAGACGCTCGCACTGGTGGCTGCGTTTTGATCGACTTGGAGACGGTGTGGGCGGCTGGTGAGAAGCCCGAGTGTGAGTTGCTAGAGCTGCTAGCTTGGGACAAGCACACGCTTGTGGACGGCAAATACACTGAGCGCTCGGATCTTTATCACGTCCGCAAGCTGATGAATGTTGTGGAAGATCTCTCCCCGGCAGCTAAAACATTCCAGTCCAAACTGCTGGGCTATGAGTTTGAGACGGCGAGGGCCGCTCTCGATGAACTGTTGCTATGCCAAAATGACTCTGCTGCTTAACGATATCTGAAAGTTCACGAAACAATGTTATGAAGTGAGAAGAAGGAATAAAACACATCATAAAAACATACCCCGCGCTTTGGTCGAATTCTACTCTCGATCACGGTTGTAACTTTCTTCTTCTCATGTGTAGACCTTAAGCTGAATCTTCCCGTGGACGAGGACTGGAAAATCGCTGAAAGGCAAACGGGCGGTACGAGAAAGAAACACTCGCCGGCCGTGAATCGTCATCGCTCTTAGAAACCTGCGTCCGAACACCACCGTTAAACTCGATGCTGCCACTCTCATCCGGATCCAGCACCCAGCGGGACCTGTCTTTAACTTTGAACTTTAAGCTTCGATCTTTGTGTTGTCGACGACGACGCCGGTGAGAAGACGGAGAAGCATCTCGACTTGACATAGAATCGGAATCATCACCTTCGTTGTAAAAGCTCGGGTTCACGCCGTAACCATCCCCTCGCCTCCTGCTGCGTTCCACAAACCTTGGAGCTGGCGGCTGCCTCGGCCCGTAACTTCCCCCTCCTCCCCACTGATCATCATCCGGATAGTAGTAATCTCCTCGAGACCTCGGCCTTGGTCGTGAAGGTGGCGGCGGCCTTCTCGGTGGCATTGCAAACTCCTCGTCGTCGTAGTCATAGTATCTGTCGTAAAATCCCGGACTGCCACTTCTCTCGCTGGTCATATCCGAGTAAGCTCCATCGTTGTAGAGAGGCGGGGGCGGCGGCGACCTGGGCCAGGAAGTGCTGCTCTCCTCGTCGGGCCAGCAAGTTTCCTCCATCTCAGATCTCGATGGCCCGCTCGCCTGATAAAACATCAAGAGCTGGTCAATGAGTTGCCTGAGAAGAACAAGTGATGCCAGGGAGAAAGAGTCGAGCGAGTCGACTTCGGAGAGCATGAGATGGGCTGCTGCTAGATCCGAAAAGGCTGGAGGTCGAGGAGGAGGAGGAGGAGGATCAAACTCTCGTCGCATTTGTCCTCGAGGAGGACTATAATACGGTGGAGGAGGAGGAGGAGGAGATCTGGCCCTGGGAGCTCCAAAGTTCGTGGAAGAAGGCGTAGGTGGTGGAGCTGCATAGCTGAAAGATGGTGGTGGTGGCGGCGGCGGAGGCGGCGGCGGTGGCCGTGGAGGTCCAAAAGACTGTCCAAAGCTCCCTGGAGGATAATTGGAAGGAGGAGGAGGAGGCGGCGGTGGGGGTCTAGCTGGAGATCTAAACGGTGGCGGCGGCGGCGGAGGAGGCGGAGGCCTTGGTTGGGGAGGAAAAAATCCTCCTCCTGGCGCTGCTGGAGGCGGCCCAGGCGGTCTAGCTCTAGGAGCTCCAGGCAAGAATGGCGGCCTACCTGGTAGCGTCGGAGGCCTAAATCCTCCCATTTGCTGCTGCTGCATCGCGAATCAATCTACATTGCGCCGAGCGAGAAAATCATTGGAATAGCCCGGAAATGCTTAGGATCGAGAGAAAATCTCACCGGGAAGTCGTGCCGCGCGAAGAGCTGGGAAATCTCCAAGAGCCCTAGAATAAGAACCCTAGAAAATTTGGCGCCTCTCTCTCCTACGTGGCCGATTTTAAAATATGATGACGGGCGGATGCCTTGTCATATTCCCCGCTACCAAATAGCCACTGCCGTACGTCACGTCGCATTTGGTCAGTAGTGGCCACGGCCCAAACAAGAACACGCGAAAGAACTTAAAGGAATAACAACAATGGGCATCGCTGGATCGATCGATCCTCGTGAGCGGCCATTTCCATCGCGGCATCAAATGTAGCTGTGGCGATCGGCACAGCGCTAGCATTTCGCGGATGCCGCGCAAATCGGGTAATAGCCGCATTGATCTAGCGTAGAAATCGAGCGCCAGAGCTAGGGATCCGGGCATTCCGAGCGATGTCTTGGATGAAGATGGCGTCGGCGCGGCAAGGTCTGGACAGATCCAAGGCCAGGATGCAGATATTACGGAAGCCCTTCTTCCACTTCGTGCTGTGCTTCTTCGTGGGATTTGGAATCGGCCTCACGCCTCTCAGCAGCGGCGGCGGCAGCGCTCGCGAGCAGCAGCGGCCGCGAGATTCTTTCACGGCCGCCAAGAGAATCGCGACGGAAGAACAGGTTGTGATTCTGGATTCGTCCTCGCCACTGGAAATCTCCGCGAATTCCTCGAGATTTCCAGGGCAGGGAAGAATGCCACTCCAGGATCCAAAGAAGCTCCTCATCATCGTCACGCCAACGTATACACGGCCATTCCAGGCGATGTATTTAACGCGATTGGCGCACACTCTCAAGCTCGTGGATCCGCCGCTCTTGTGGATCGTCGTGGAGATGCCGGGGCAATCCTTGGAGACCGCGTCGCTGCTCAGGAAGACTGGGGTCATGTACAGGCACTTGGCTTGCGAGAAAAACCTCACCAACATCAAAGATCGAGGCACCCAACAACGAAACTTGGCGCTCCAGCACATCGAGATTCATCAGCTGGATGGAATCGTCTACTTCGCGGACGATGACAACTTCTACTCGCTGGAACTCTTCGACCAACTGCGTGAAATCAAGTACGTTTCTATCTTTCATTGCTTCTATTGTCATGATCTAAAGCTCTTTTTTCCTGTGTTCTTGATGGTTTTTTCCAGGAGATTTGGCACTTGGCCAGTGGCGATGCTGGCTCACAGCAAATCCAAGACCATCCTGGAGGGCCCCGTTTGCGATGGCCACAAGGTGACGGGCTGGCACACCAACGAGAAGAGCAAGCGATTGCGAAGATTTCACGTCGATATGTCCGGCTTTGGATTCAACAGCACCATTCTCTGGGATCCCAGGAGGTGGAAGCGGCCAACAACGCAACCAGTTCGTCAGCTCGACACTGTCAAGGAAGGATTCCAGGTAAATCATCCTTTGAAACGTTTCTTCACACCATTTCACTCTGGAAAAATCAGGAGACGACTTTCATCGAGCAGCTCGTGGAGGATGAGAATCAAATGGAAGGACTTCCCAGCGGCTGCTCCAAAATCATGGTGTGGCATCTCCATCTCGAGTCGCAGATCGCGAGCTATCCACCAAACTGGAAGATGGACAAGTTCTTGGAGCCTGTGATTCACTTGTAGCACAGAGACACAGGGACGGACACTCACACACGCACGCTAGCAATTTATACTTTACAATAGGATAGATAGATTTACGCCTCTCTTGCCCCGCGTTTAGTAGGAGTATAAAATCTTTCCAGCCCAAATTTATCCAAGCGTAAACATTGTTGGTTGCAACCATGCTCACGTATCTCGCGATCGTTCTAATGAATATTCTAAAGATAAAGAATATTCTTGAGAATATTTTCAACTTCTAAGATCATTTTCTCCGTGTTCTTCGGCCATTATGGCCGAGTGGTAGCAAAAAAAGAAACTGCGGTTCTTAATAAATCATCTAAAGCAATCTAAAATGACCAAAGCCAAAGACACTGCAAAGAAAAATTTTCCTCTCGCATTAGTTAGCGCGTTCGAAAACAAGAAAGATCCATCTCACGCTGCTTGCGTCTCTCCTCACGCCCTCACAGCGTACTTTCTCATCGGGAAGTAAGCCTCCTTCTTCTTTTGCTTCTCCGTCTTGAGGGAAAGCTGCGAAAAAACACAAACGAGAAAGTTTCAGAGCTGCCACCACCTCTACAATGGAAAATTGCTTACCTGATGTTTTGTCAAGCGTCGCCTGATCGCTCGGGTCTTCTTGGGACGAAGATCCAGAGGCATGTACTTCTTGTTCTTGTACGCCTCTCTCAGCTTGGCCTTCTGGGTCTGGGAGATTACTGTGAGAACGCGCGCGATCGAGAGCCTGACGACCTTGCTGGAGAAACAAAACACCGAAGTGAAAATCAAAATCGCGAGGGAACACTCGAAAATCTCACATTTTGGAGAGCTTGTTGGGGGCGCCTCCAGTGACTTTGGCCACGCGCAGCAAAGCGAGCTCGGATTTGAGCTCCTTGAGCTGGACGAGCAAATCCTGCTTAGATTTCGTCCGCAGCTCGTGCACTTTGATCTTCCCTGCTGAGAGACAAAGGAAATCGATCGAACCAGAGCGAGATCGCGAGAAAGAACGTACCCATCTTTGCGGCTTCCCCACAACCCTAAAACCCTAGCCGCCCGGAAATTTAAACCTAACCCTAACCATTAAAGATGTACATTTTTGACATTTTTTAGCTTGTAACAGATCTCCACCGTCGGTTTTGAAAGCCCTAAAATCCCAAGAACCCTAAATCTTGAAAACCCTAAAACTCTGGGCGGCGACAGGAAGGAAGCGGAGCGATGTCGAAGCGCGGTAAGGTTTCAGCATTCCTTCTCTCGATGGCGCTGATAGATCGATTGCCACTGCAGCTAGAGGTGCTGCCTCGGGCAACAAGTTCCGGATGTCGCTGGGATTGCCCGTGGGCGCGGTGGTGAATTGCGCCGACAACACGGGGGCCAAGAATCTCTACATCATCTCCGTCAAGGGCGTCAAGGGGAGGCTCAATCGGCTCCCGGCGGCGGCGATCGGCGACATGGTGATGGCCACTGTGAAGAAGGGCAAGCCGGATCTCCGGAAGAAGGTCATGCCCGCGGTGATCGTCCGCCAGAGGAAGCCGTATCGCAGGAAAGATGGAGTTTTCATGTACTTCGAAGGTGAGGAAGCTTAGATTCTTGTTCTTGCCAGAGACTGATGGTTCTTTGGCTGCTTGATCCAGACAATGCGGGCGTGATCGTAAATCCCAAGGGCGAGATGAAAGGTATGGAGTTCTTCGCCTCTCGCGCTTTGGAATGAGAGTTTGATGCTTGTTCTTGTTTAGGATCTGCCATCACTGGCCCAATCGGCAAGGAATGCGCGGATTTGTGGCCTCGAATCGCCAGCGCTGCCAATGCCATCGTTTGATTCGAAGCCTGGAGACTATCAATGGAGATTTTGTGTTCTAGTTCTCTTCTGATTTTAGGGTTCTTGGGGAATGGGCTAGATCTAGGGTTCGTGGGAAATGAATGATCTTCATTCCTCGCGGCCCCTCTTTTCTTTCGGAGTGATCACTGATGTCCAGTACGCGGACGTTCCCGACGGGCGTTCCTTCCATGGCGTTCCGCGATTCTACCGCGGCAGCCTCGCCGCGCTCAACGAGGCAATTGCGAGCTGGAACGATCAGGGCAGCGATCTGTCCTTCGTCATCCAGCTCGGGGATCTCATCGACGGGCGCTGCCCCCGCGATCAAGCTCCCGCGGCAGCGCGCGAGGTCGTGGCAGCATTCGATAAATTCCGGCACGGCCGCGTCTACCACACCATCGGCAATCACTGCCTCTACAATCTCTCGCGCGGCCAGCTCCAGGAAATCCTCCGTGTTGATGGATCCTTCTACTACGATTTCGTCCCCCACCCGGGATTTCGATTCATCGTCCTGGATAGCTACGACGTGAGCGTGCTGGGCGGATCATCGAGGGATCACTCCTCGCGGGCTATGGCGCTGCTGGATGCCAAGAACCCTAATGTGGACAAGAACAGCCCCCTGGGAATGGCGCCCGAGCAGCAGCGATTCGTGGCTTTCAACGGCGGCATTGGCGATGCCCAGCTCCAGTGGCTCGATCGGAAGCTCCGCGAGGCCGAGGATCGCAACGAGCGAGTGATCATCGCCTGCCACATCCCAATTCTCCGCGAATCCACCTACGACGACACGCTGCTGTGGAATGCCGAGGAGGTATTGCGCGTGATCCATCGCTACGATCGCTGCGTGGTGGCGAGCTTGGCTGGGCACAAGCACGATGGGGGCGAGGGAGTGGACGAGAAAGGGATTCCTCACCGCGTCCTCGAGGCCGTGCTCGAGTGCCCGCCCGGGGAGAATTCGTTTGGCCGCGTGGATGTGTACGAGGATCGATTGGAGCTGCTGGGCACTGGTAGAATGCGATCGGCCACTGTGTTCTTCCGGTGATCTCGCCGGAGTTCACGGAATAATCACGTTAGATTGATATCATGACTCACATCTTTATGGACGAATCACTTAAAGTCTTTTCAATTTGTTCTGGTACATTTATTAAAAGAGAGAAATAACTGTCATTAAATCTTTGAAAGAAAAACATTTTTGGCTTCATCCAGGTTCGAACTGGAGACCTTCAGTGTGTTAGATTGACGTGATGACCAACTACACCATGAAACCATTCTGTCTAAAAAACATTTTCCCCAAGTCAAATTTTGAAAAGGAGTGATTGGTTTTTTGGTCCCTGCTTCTCTTGCGTGGTTTCTTTGTCTCGTCCTCCAGATTGAAAGCAAAAGGTCAGATATACATTGGGTTTAGCGTGTAGTTGATCAATCGCATTCACTAACTTCACGCCGAGAGACCTTGCGGATCTATACTCGAGATTGATCTTCTATGAGAAAAGACATGGCAAGTCTCTTCGGCCGTGTTTCATAATCTTCAACCGTAAAATTTCAGCCAGAACACTCCTGGGAGTCTGAAGTAGAGTACACAAACTGAAGCTCCTCATTAAAGTCATCGTCATTCAACGAAGTACGTCTTTGGTGGCCACAAAACAACAGTTTTGACGTGGAAATTGACCAGGAAGCTTTCCGAGGTAAACATCACCTTTGCTCGTTCTTGTTCTCGATCCTTTGCGTAAAATGTCGAGGCGTTTGAGAGAGCACTCGGCCACGAAGAAAACGAGGGCTTGACGCTTGGCGGCTTGAACTCAAGGCTGGCAGATTGTTTGAGGCATACGTTTCAGCTCCTTTTAGCGAGGAGAACGTGAGGTTTTTGAAGATATGACCCGTATCGTATTGGGCGATTCTGTCAAGTCGGCAGAAGCGCATCAAATCAACAAGTTGAAGCACAATATTGAAGCACGATGTGTGCTCGACAACTGGAAACCGGTTGCAGTAGGGCCGCCAACTCTAAGCACAAAGTGGTGTGCCTGGAAAGTAATTCAATATCATTCCCTGTTCTTCCGGCCGAAGTTCACGGAAGAATCACGTAAGGCTCCCGGAAAACTTACAATCGAATTTGTACAAACTTTCTACGATCTTGCGCGTATAGTTCGATGACAGGATTGGAGAGGCGTGCGTGGTTTCCTTTGTCTCGTCCTCTAGATTGATCCGCTGTTACGTTGCTCTTGCGGCTTCTCTTCGTCGTGTAGCAGTGGGCGGTGTAGCAAAGAGCCCTCCTCCATTTTGCTTGGATCACTCTCACCGATGTCACTCTGCCGACGCTGCAATCGCGTGACGTGCTCCTGTTGCTGTTCTTGGCCCCAGGTCACCATGTATAGTCCACAAATGATGAGGATCGCGCCGAGCAAACTGCGCAAGTTGCAAGTTTTCGAGTCAGTGACAAATTCTTCAAACCAGACGTAGGCCGCTGGCATTGACAACTCACCTCCCCAAGTAAAAGGGCTCGCCCAGGAAAACCAGCGCTACGAATCCCACCACTACTGTCTGGAGGGGCTGATACGCCGACACTATGACGGGCCCGGCCTGTTGCATACACCACGCTTGAGCGGAGAAAACTAGCCCCGATGCCACAAATCCCTGGAAAGAATAGTTTCTGTAAGCTCGATTCCGCTACATGATCGAGAAAGGTATAAAGTTACCGCGTAAAGAACACTCGTGAGCTGAATTCCTGGGGTGATCTTCCAGATCGAGAGCGATGGCTGGCTTGCCACCGCGAAGACCGAGAGTTGAATCGCTCCAAAGAAATTGGTGAAACATACTGTCGAGTATCTGGCTGGATACATTCTGAGCGTCCTGGCCTGGGAGAAGAAATAAAATAAGCATTGATAAACAGGTGTAGGAATGAGCTCGTACCTGTAGTACGTAGAACACGCCGAATGCCAGGCAGCTGATGAGAAGGTAAAGCGATCCCAGTCGCCAGACACTCAAGGTGAGAATCGGTGTTGCTTGGATCGATTTCGCTGCTTCTGTGCTGGCAGCGCTATGGTGAAGATGGTTGAAAAGAAGAGGGCCTTTGTAAGCAGTCATCAAGGTAGCTCCAGCTCCTGCACAGATTGCGCCGAAGAGCTTGGCCTGACCATCTCTTCGCGATAGATTGACGTCTTCAACGCTGGAAGAAGCGAGATGTTCAAGCAAAGAAAAAAAAAGAAAAGAATAGATTGGATCAATCATCTTTAGTTGCTTACCCGGAGATCGCTGCCATAGCGAAGGTAACAGCTGGGATGGAATTTTGGAACGCGGAAGCAAACGTGGGAGTTGTGTCGGCGAGTCCATAAAGGAACAATCCCTGGCCAAGAGCAACGCTGTCATACCACACATAAGAGAGAGGATGGATCCAATCCAACAACAATATTTCGATCAAGCAAGATCGAGCTTACGCTGTGATTCCCAGGAAGAAGAAATGGATCAAATGCGTGAATCGGAGCTGCGGCCTCTCCTTCCTGTCAAAAATCGCGAAATCGTACGAATTTGACCCTGGCAGGAGTGAAATTTACCTCTCCAAGAAGGCGGCAACAGGGAGGATCACCGCAAATCCGATGACATTCCGATAGACCGGATAGGTCGTCTTGTTCAATCCTTGCTCGAAGGCGATCTTCGTGAGGAGCTGGAATCCTGCGTAGCCGACCTGGACGAGCGCAAGGATGAAGTGGATTCTAAGCTTTCCGAGAAGGCCTAGATTGAGGATTGGATAGTGCGCCATTGGGATGGATCGATCGATCGATCGATCGAGCGGCTATCGCGGGGGCGGTGACCTGTCCCTTTGATCCTCTCCGAGAAGAATTGGAACTCTTTTGAATGTTAAGGGTTTAGAGGACGGTCTTATCGCAGCCGTTCACGTTTAAACGGTCCGATCTTGCTACGTATGCGTCCTTATATCACAGCCGTCAGTTTGGTGGATGGTGCGACGTGGCGCCACCACATTGCTCCGTAAGATTAGGTCTTCGTGCTCGCAGGAAATTTCCCGAGAGCGTGGAGCTGGAGCTGCTGCTCGCGATCGATCGATCGCGGAGGATTTTGCTCGCGAGCTAAGGAATGCGCGATGCCTCGCGGCGGTGGAGGAGCTGCATTGTCGGATGATCGCGCAGGGGCTGGATGCCGACACCTATCTCGGGAACAATCTGGTAAGGGTTTATGGGAAATTCGGGGGACTGGATCGAGCCTGGGCAGCGTTCGATCGCATTGCTGCGAAGAATGTGTTCTCCTGGACGATCGTAATCTCGGCATTTGCCCAGAATGGGCATCACAGGGAGGCTCTGGTGCTGTTCCGGCAGATGGAACGCGAGGGTGTCAAGGCGAACGAGGTGACTCTCGCGGCTGTGCTGGGGATTTGCTCCAGCATCAAGGATTTAGCTGGAGGGAGATCCATCCATGGCCGAGTGATCGCTGCCAAGAAAGACGTGGTGATTGGCAATGCTCTTGTCAACATGTATAGCAAGTGTGGATCTCTCCGCGAGGCAAGAGCTTCCTTCCAAGAGATGGTGGTCAGAGACGTGGTTTCCTGGACGACGATGATCACAGCTCTCTCGGAGCACGGAGAGTGGAACGAGGCAGTGGAGATCTTCTGGGAAATGGTCTCGGAAAATGTGGCTCCAAACGAGATCAGCTGCTTGGCGGTGTTGGGAGCTTGCTCGAACTTGGGCGATCGCAGCCAAGTCCGGGTGATCCACGAGTTTATTGCCAGTGGTGGCTTGGAGCTCGACAAGAAGCTGGTGGTGGCGAATACTTTGATCCACACTTATGGAAGATGTGGGAGCCCGAGCGATGCTAGGCGAGTTTTTGATTCTCTGCAACACTCGGCTAGGAATGCCGTGTCCTGGGCTTCGATGATAGCAGCTTACACGAGCAACGAGCAGGCCAAGGCAGGGGTGGAGCTCTACCAGGAGATGATCCAGCGGGAAGAGAGCAAGAAAATGGATCCCGTCGCCTATCTCTGCGTCCTGGAAGCTTGCTCCAGCTTGAGCGCTCTCAAAGTCGGGCGTCAGGTCCACGAAGAGATTGTAGCTGCTGGTTTTGGAGACGAACTTCCACTCGCTGGTGCGATCGTCAACATGTACTGCAAATGTGGGAGCTTGGTCGAGGCAAGGGAAGTCTTCGACGGGATGAAAGCCAGGAATATGATAGCGTGGAACTCGATGATGGGGGGATACACGCAGCACGGTCATCCGAAGCGAGCGCTCCAGCTCTTTGAACTTGCGTGCCTTGACGGGGTTCTTCCGGACGAGATCACCTTTGTGACGATTCTTACGGCATGCAGCCATGCAGGGATGGTAAAGCCAGGCGTTTGGCACTTCGGTTCCATCCGGGCAGATTTTGGGATGGAGCCGAGTGTGGATCACTACGTCTGCATGGTGGATATGTTGGGACGAGCAGGCTGGTTAGATGCGGCTGAAAGATTGGTAGAGCGCATGCCAGCGTTCTCAAATCCAGCCGACGAGTTTGTACCGTGGATGGCTTTGCTGGCTTCTTGCAAAGTTCATACAGACGTGAAGAGGGCAGCAAGAATTTCTTCCGTTCTGTCAGCGAAGAAGAAGAAGCTCTTGAGCAGCAGCAGCAGCGGCAGTGGCTCCTGGCACCTCAAGAACTCGGCCGCTCCACTGGTGATGCTCTCGAACATATACGCTCAAGCGAAGAAGTGGGAGGAGATGACAGGAGTGAGGAACGAGATTACGGAGGAATGGTCCAAGGGGATGATCACGTCGAGGCAAAGGGGTTGTAGCTTCATCGAAGTGGAAGGCGCGATTCACGAGTTCGTCGCCGGGAAACTCCACCTCCATCCAGAGCACAAGGGGATCGACAGCGAGATGAAAAGGCTCGAGGAGCTTATCAAGAGCGCTGGCTACGTCCCCGACACAAGTGTGGTAATGCACGATGTTGAGGAGGCTGAGAAGGAAGGCGTCCTCCATCAACACAGTGAGAGAATGGCCATAGCTTTCGGTTTGATGCGCGGTGGCAGTGACACCATCGTTCGAGTCGTGAACAACCTCCGGATTTGCTCCGACTGCCATGCCGCTGTCAAGCTCATCTCCAAGACCGTGGGACGGGAGATCCTCGTTCGAGACACTCGTCGGTTCCATCACTTTGCAAGTGGAGAGTGCTCCTGTCAAGACTACTGGTAGCAGCACAGCCGACTCGATCGAGTTCTCGGAGAAGAATGGTCTCCACGAAAAGATCAAGGAAGTGAGATGGGCTCCATCTCTAGCAGGAGCTCCAAGGTGGTGAAGCTATGGAGGAGAGGACCACTCAAGCTCGATCAAGCGGGGTGCCCGAGATTTCCAGGCTGGAGGAAGTGGTACCGCATTCTATGCGTCGGGGACCTACCATTGGCTGGTAGTCGCTCGTTTTACGATAGTGATGGGCCGCCTCACCTCACCAACGTGGTCGCCAAGCATCTTCTTCAAGCTACGAGGTACTTATATCTCTTCTTTTTTTCCTTTTCTTACGCTAAAGCTAATCTCCTCCAGGAATGGTCCGTAAAGCTCGCCTCTTCGGACAATCCCCTTGTCCAAATTGATTGGGTCGGCTCTCCAGATCCATTGGCGCTGCATGGTTGATCGCTCGGATCCAACTCCAGGTGGGTTTGTAGCTAGGATCTGTGCCTGCATTCTCGGTTTTTCGCATCCACTCTCGGCCGAGCTGACCCTCGTGCTCCAGAATGGTGTCCGAGGAGCACGAGCGGCTTGTTCGCCCAGCCTTGCAGCAAATTTCAAAGTCTCTCAAGAGCCATGTTGAGCCTGCGACTCCACGGTCCGTCACGAGCACCAGAGCTGTGAGGTAAGCTTAGATCTGAGCTCTTCTTGGTGGAGTCTTGTCCACATTGATGGTTTTTCTTTGTTTTCCTTCCAGGGACTCGGCTATGGAGGACCCGGACGGTGTCCTGGCCAGTGTAGCACTGTGCATCGAGCAGCTGAGAGGAGCAAGCTTCAGCCCCCAGGAGAAAGAGAATGCCTCCAAGCAGCTTTTGGTGCTCGTGGAGGAGCGAGATCAAAATGCCAAGAAGGCGATCACATCTCACACGCAAGCGATACCACTGCTGGTGAATTTGCTGAGAACAGGTACCACCAGTTCCAAGATCAATGTAGCGGCGGTCATGGCCCTTCTTTGCAAGGAGGAGGAGCTGAGAATGAAAGTTCTTCTGGGGGGATGCGTTCCGCCTTTGCTCGCGCTGCTCAAGGTTGGATCCACAGTCGCTCACAGTGCTGCAGCAAAAGCGATTTTTGCCGTGACCACCACTGTCGACCACGTTGGGGCCAAGATTTTTTCCACCGAGGGTGTGGTTCCAAGCCTGTGGGAGCAATTCCAACCGGGCAACAAGCTCGAAACTAGCGTGCTGGGGCTCTTGACCGGAGCTCTTCGCAACCTTTGCAACAAGAACAACGTCGTAGAGGGGTTCTGGTCGGCAACTCTAGACGCCGGGGGGATCCAGGTTCTAGCAGCTCTTCTCGGGAGTGGAAACTCGGACGCACAGGCCAATGCAGCTTCCATCCTGGCCAGCTTGATGGACGCTGTAGAAACAAGCGGACCCAAAGTTTTCTCCACGACTGGAGCTCTCGATCAGCTGTTTAAGTTGCTTGAGAATGGACACGAGACGGGAGTGAGAGCCGAGGCCGCCGGAGCTCTTCGTGCTCTCACGCAGCACTCACCGGAAGCTCGTCAGTATATCACAAAGACAAATGGTGGCGGGATGATACGAGAATTGATCGCGGCCGTGGTAGCTCCTTCCAAGGAGTTCATGCAAGGAGTTTTCGCCCAGCAGCTTCAGGAGAATGCGATGGGATCGCTGGCCAACGTTCTCGGAGGAATGACGACGGTGGTCGGGCGTTTAGCCGAGGAGCTCAACCAGCAGCAACAAGTTGGAGCGGTCAGTGCAGACACAGTCGGCGCTCTAGCGTACGCTCTCATGGTCATCGACTCTTCCTCGGCAGAGAAGGATTCTTCCGGCTGTGTCGTCAATCCGAGCTCTCTGGAGAGGCTTCTGGTGAAGCTGATGGAGCATCAAGATGTTGATGAACTACTCAAGGAGCACGTCATCGAGGCACTGGCGAGTTTGTACAGCAACACGTACTTGGCGTCCAATCTCGAGCATGCCGAGGCGAAGAAGATGCTTGTCGGCTTAGCGACGTTGGCCGATCCATGGATCCGAGTGGAGCTTATACGAGCGCTCAGCAGCATTTGCAGTGGGAAGGCCGGACTTTGGGAGTCTATCCGCGGTCGGGATGGTGTCCAGTTCATGATATCCTTGCTTGGAGTTTCTTCCGAGCAGCAGCAAGAGTACGCAGTGGCGCTGCTTTCCATTCTCTCGAGACAAATCGATGAAAGTAACTGGGCCATCACAGCCTCTGGAGGAATTCCACCGCTCGTCCAGCTTCTCGAAACAGGCTCTCCAAAGGCGAAAGAAGACTCGGCAATTGTTCTCGGCAATCTTTGCTCTCACAGCGAAGATATCCGTGCCTGTGTTGAGACTGCCGAAGCGGAGGCAGCACTTTTGTGGCTGCTCAAGAACGCTAGCCCCGAAGGACAAGAGATCGCTGCTCGTGCCATAACTAAGCTTGTGAGACGACCGGACGCTGATACTTTGAGCCAGCTTACGGCCATGCTCGTCGGGGACTTACCATCTTCGAAGCAGCACGTACTGGAAGTTACGAGCTGCTTGCTCGCTGTAGTTGCGGAGCAAGACATGGGCAAGGAAGGAGCTGCTGGCTACGAGGCCTTCGACACGCTCATGACTTTACTCGAGTCTCCAAGCAGCAAGGAGACGCAAGAAAAGGCTGCCTCGGTGATAGCCAGGGTCTTTGCTCTTCGCCAGGACATGCATCACAGTCCTCTTGTCCAAAAGGCCGTCGGACCTCTAAACAAGCTCGTCAGGAACATCAACGAGGAGGAGCCAGGGACGATCAGCGTTGCTGCTCAGGCGGCGCTAGCTCTGGCTGCCTTGTTTTCTTCTATCCGAGAGCATGGCTACGTGAAAGACGCTGCCGTGGACGCTATAACACCGCTGGTTGCTCTGGCCAAGGTGACGAGCTTAGCTCCCGCTGAAGCAGCAGTGAAAGCACTCGCGTTTCTCTTGGTGGACGAGGAGGTTGCCTTGGACGTGCCGCTTGGAGACTTGATAGATCCTTTCACTCGGATTCTACGAGAAGGCAGTGAGGCTGGAAGAGACGATGCTGCTGCGGCACTGGCTCGGCTCTTTGCGGTGCATTCCATCGACGACAAGCTTGCGGAGAGTATTAGTTTCTGCGGCACCATGGTGGCTCTAGCGGACCTCTTAACTGGAGTGAGCTTCGATCAAGTGGAGACGATCCAAGCTCTCGACGCGCTCTCGGCGGTGGCAAGGTCCAAGACGAATGCATCTTATAGCCGTCAACTTCTGGGTGTGATCGAGAGCCTGGGCCCGCTGGTTACGTGCGCTGCAATCGGATCACCCGTCCTTTGCGAGAAAGTTATTGAGGTGCTGGCGAGACTTTGCCAGGACAAAGCTGCGATCTTGGGAGGCTTGATCGCAAACACTGACAAGTGCATAGCTTCTCTAGCGGACCGGATCATCAGATCGAGCAACGTTGAAGTTAAGATTGGTGGAACGGCTCTTCTCATATGTGCCGCGAAGGAACACGGTCAGAAAGCCATGGATGCTCTTGCCGAGTCGGGATGCGCTTCACTGCTGATCCAGACTCTAGTCGGCATGCTTCAAGGGAGCTCCGGAGATGGTGATTTTGAAACAGCCTCTCCCGGAGGCTTGGGAGCTACGACTGTTGCTCTCTGGCTTCTCTCCGTGATCGCTACTCACGACAGCGGCAGCAAAGTTGCCATCATGGAGGCTGGAGCGATTGATGTTCTTGCGGAGAAGCTCGCCATCTTTGCTCCAAACGCTCGACAGGTATGTTTTAAACTTAGTTCCAGTTTTCTCACTGATGCTACTTCCATGCAGGCAAAGGTCGAGGAATCTGGAAATAACTGGATCAGTGCCTTGCTCCTCGCGATCCTTTTTCTCGACCGGGACGTCTCCCGTGCCCCGGCAACGTCTCGAGCTATTCCAGCGCTGTCGCTGCTGCTCAAGTCGGAGGACACCATGGACAGATATTTCTCAGCGCAAGCACTGGCAAGCCTCGTCTGCCACGGGAGTCGTGGAACTCTACTCGCTGTAGCCAACTCTGGAGCAGTCCCGGGATTGATTTCTCTTCTCGGCAGTGCAGAAGTGGAGGCAGGAAATCTGGTGACACTTTCGGAGGAGTTTTTGCTGGTTTCCAGTCCCGACCAGGTTGCCTTGGAGAGGCTGTTTAGAGTCGACGATATCAGATACGGTGCTACTGCTCGCAAGGCTATACCAGCTCTGGTTGAGCTCCTCAAGCCAAATCCAGGCCGTCCTGGTGCGCCACCTTTGGCACTCAGTCTACTTACGCAGATTGCCGAAGCAAACCACGTTAACAGGGTGACAATGGCCGAAGCTGGAGCTCTAGAAGCTCTCACAAAGTATCTCTCTCTCGGCCCTCAAGATGCCATAGAAGAAGCTGCTGCCGAGCTCCTGAGGATTCTTTTCAGCAGTCCCGAGCTTCGACGTCACGACTCGGCTTCAGGTGCAGTAGACCAGCTTGTAGCAGTGTTGAGAATGGGAGCTCGAGGATCCAGGTACACAGCAGCTCGAGCACTCCAGGGTGTTTTTGGTGCTGAGCAAATACGAGGTGGAGACATAGCGACTCAAGCTATTGTACCGCTGGTTGAGATGCTGAGTGCCGCTGTGGAGCGAGAGCAGCGAGCGGCAATCGGTGCGCTGATATCTCTAGCGGCAGACAATCCTCACAAGGCGATCGTGATTGGCGACGTTGAGCTCAATACTTTAGAGATCTTGAGCAAGATACTGTCGGCCGACACTTCTTCGTCGTCACTTCAGCTTAAAGAGCATGCAGCGGAGCTTTGCTCGGTCCTTTTTGCAAACGCACGAGTAAGATCCAAGGCTGCTGCCAGTACCTGCATCCTTCCACTGATCGACTTGCTCAGTACCGCCGAGGCCGAGTCCGTGCAGCACGTCGCTACTCAGGCTCTCGATAATCTCTTGGACGACGAGCAACAGGCCGAGGCAGTAGCAGCATATGGTGCTGTGGTTCCACTCGTGGAGCTCATAGTCGGTTCTAGCTTCAAGGTGCACGAGGTGGCAGTGAGTGCTCTGATAAAGCTCGGGAAGGATCGACCACTTTGCAAGCTTGACATGGTAAAAGCCGGAGTGATCGACAGAGTTCTCGTCAGTATGGGACAGGAGCCTTCGCCGGACTCTTTTTGTGCTCGCGGAGCAGAACTTTTGAGGATTCTGACCAACAACAGCAGCATTGCAAAGAGCACGTCGGCGGCCAAGGCTGTCGAGCCCCTGTTCACGATGCTGCAGACTCGAGCTGAGATTGGACCTGCAGGCCAGCACAGTGCCGTCCAGACGCTGGTAAACATCATCGAAAAGCCACAATGCACGGCTTCGCAAACTTTGAGTTGCGGTCTCGCTCTACAGCCGCTGCTGCAGCTTCTCGAGTCGACGTCCCAGTCCGTCCAACAAGTAGCAGCGGAGCTCCTCTCGCATTTACTCGTGGAGCCTCGCTTCCAGCAGGATCCAATCACTCAAGCTGCGGTTCCAGCGCTTGTAAAGTTGGCGGGCAGCAGTGGTGCTCTCAGCGTCCAGCAAAGAGCCGTGAATGCTCTGGAGCTTGCGTCTACCAGCTGGCCGGACGCACTGGTGGAGTCGGGTGGTATCTCGGAGGTTTCGAAGATCATCTTGCAGACCGATCCTCCGGCTCCGCACGGCCTGTGGGAATGCGCTGCAAAGCTGCTCTCCAATGTTTCACAGAACTACTGCCAGGAGCTCACGCCAGCAGTGGTTTCGAAGCTTTTAAGATCCACGTCCGAGGCGACGGTGGCTGTGTCTCTGCACGCCTTGCTGGTCATGGAGAAAGAGGACGCGTCCACCGCGGAGATCATGGCAGAGAATGGAGCTGTCGAGTCTCTAGTGGAGATTTTGAGGAGCCACCAATGCGAAGAAGCAGCTGCTCGCCTCCTGGAGTCACTCGTGAACAACGTTACCGTTCGGGGCATGAAAGCAACCAAGCTCGCAGTTTGTCCCTTGTCCGAGTTTCTTCTGGATCCCCAGACACAGTCGGAGCAGGCAAGACTGCTGGCAGCTCTCGCTCTTGGTGATCTCTTCCAGAACGACACTCTCTGCAAGTCGACTGATGCTGTCTCGGCATGCCGTGCCTTGGTGAGTTTACTGGAGGGCCAGCACAACGAAGAGATACAAATGGTGGCAATCTGTGCGTTGCAAAACTTGGTGGTGAACAGTCGTCCAAACAAGCGCGCTGTTGCCGAGGCTGGAGGAGTGCAAGCTCTGCAAGAGCTCGTCGCCACCGCAAGTTCCGATACTGCCGTGCAAGCTGCGGCTCTGATCCGGATTCTCTTCTCCAACTATACGATCCAGGAGTTCGCATCCATAGAGGTGATCCAAGCTTTACTCGGTAAGTTTTAAACTTTGTCATCCAGAGCTTATGACTTTCTGCCTTATCTTTCAGCGTTACTCGAGAAGGATTTGTGGTCCAGAGAACCGATCAAAGACGAGGTGATCAAAGCCATCAACACGCTCTTCAACCTCTATCCGAAGTTCCGGATCACCGAGATAGCCACCGCCAGCATTCCTCTTTTGATCGGAGCTATGAAGACCGAGTCGGAGGTGGCGCAAGAGGCAGCACTGGACACTCTCTTCCTCTTTCGCCAGACATGGTCGGCCAGTCCGGAAGAAGAAGGCCGAGCTCAAGCAAACGCAATGGCGGACGCCATACCCGTGCTCCAGATGCTCATGAGAACCGGTCCTCAGCGCTTCCACGAGCGCATAGAGCTTCTCCTGCAGTGCTTACCCGGGAACTTGCTGGTTAACATCAAGCGTGGAAACAACTTGCGGCAGTCCATGGGTGGAACCAACGCGTTTTGCAAGATTACGCTGGGAAGTGGACCTCCTCGACAGACACGAGTAAGTGGTCCTTCGATCCTTACTGAAGCTAAAGAAAAATGGTGTTTTGCTTCGCCCGTCACAGGTTGTTTCCAACAACAGTGCTCCGCAATGGGAGCAAGGATTTGCGTGGGCTTTCGACACGCCCCCAAAGGGCCAGAAGCTTCACATATCATGCAAGAACAAGGGAGCCTTTGGAAAGGTAACGAAAGTTCTCTCTTTTGTTTGAGAGAGATATTGATGTTCTCGTCCTTTCTCTCGAGCAGGCATCGCTTGGTAAAGTCACCATACAGATCGACCGCGTGGTTTTGCTGGGCAACTTAAGTGGAGAGTATCAACTCAAGCCCGATAGCAACCGAGATGGAAGTCCGCGCACGCTGGAGATAGAATTCCAATGGTCTAACAGGTGATTCTCAGCGACAGTTCTAGAGGTAAGAAACGAGGGGAGGCTTGTATACATGTGAATAACCAAGGATTTTTGCAAGTGGAAAGTTTTGACAGTTTTTCTTCAGTGAATAAAGGGCTTGTCTTTCAAAAGCTTACTTGTAAAACTTGTGGACTTGCTCGATTGGAGCCCGGCAGTGAGGACAGCTTTTGTGCTCTTGTTGGACTTTTTTCGCGCATTCCATGCACATGAGCGCATGTCCACAAGGAATCAGCAACGCCCTTGTGCCACAGTTCTCGAAATCCTCCAAACAGTGCGAGCATTCGTCCTGGAAAACGAAAGTAGAAGCACAAGAGAAGCAAAAGTCTCAGAAGTTTTCACCTTCTTGTCACTGGAAGGAGGAGCGGCAGCGACTGGTGTGTTGGAAGACTCTTTCATTGCTTCTGCAATCTCCTTCTCGAATTGCATCTGGAGCTGCAAACGCAAGAGAGAAAAAAAACAAAATGATCAACTTAAAGAAGAGAAAGAATGAGACTTACTTCCAGGATTTCCTTGCTCTCACGCTCGATTAGATCCATCTCCAAGCTATCGTGTTCCTGCCTAAACTTCTCCTCGGCCTCTCTTACCGAGGCTTCAAACTGCTGCTTTTTGTTTTCCATGGCCTGGAGCTTCAAGGCGCTGCATTTGTGGAGCCAGCGTTTAGCGAAAGCCGAAAGAGTCGATCGCAAACTTACGTCTCTTGTGCGTTCCTTGATTCTTTAGCTCGCAGCCGTTGCAAGTATTCGAGATGATCCATCTTCTCCTTCTCAGTCTTGGAGTCCTGGAAATCAAGCTTCTCTCGCAGCATCAAGTTCACCTTTTCAAACTCAGCTTGCTGCCGTCTCATTCTCCTCTCGAAATCTTCGTCCAGTCGAGAAATCTGAACAAAAGATTGATTAGAAAGGAAAGAAGAACTTGCAAAAAGAAGAAAGAACTTTACCTCTTGTGCGAAGCGTCGTTGCATTTCTTCCCTTCGAGCTCTATCGGTTTCCAAGCTTTGTGTGGCTTCGTTTAGCGCGGCTTCGATGGCACTCCTGCTGCTGGCGACGAGTTCTTTCTTCTCCTCGATCTTGAACGATCGCAGCTTCTCCTTGCTCACTTCGTGCTTCATTTTCTGGGCCGGAGTTGGCGTCGTGCCGTGCATCCTTGAATTTGGCGACAGCACTTCCACCAGAGCTCGATAGTAGCCTCGGTGCCGATTCACAAACTTCTTCCGGTCCCTGGAAAACCATTGCTCATCATCAGCAAAGAGAAAGGAAGAAACGCAAGGGAAGAACACACACACAAAAAAAAAAAAACGCCAAGACTTCCAAGAAAGAATCCAAGAACACCGAAAAAGAAGAGCTTTTCTCACCGGATCGTCTCGGCGTGAGCGATGAGCCCTCTCCAGCCAGTGAACTCCGTCCTCGTCGGGCAAACAGCGCAGATTCTCTTCGTCGTGTCGCGAAGCAAATTCGGAGCTTCTGGCCCGACGAGCTCCCTCACCTCGCCAATGCAGGCCTCGTACGCTCGCTCTTGGATCAGCGCGATCTCCTCCTCGTCCATTTCATCGTCGTCGTCGTCCTCCTCCTCCTCTTCCTCCTCTTCATCGGAGCTTCTCGCGCGCTTCATTCGTTTCTATTCTCCTAGAACCCTAAAATTTGGCATTTTGGATATGGCGGCCTTGCCCTCTTCGTCGTCTTCCCTCATCCAATCCTTCCAGCAGCGGCGGCGGCGGCGGCGGCGATCCCTCGCAGCACGGCGCGGAGATCCTTGGGTCAGCTCCATCGCTCGCGGTAAGAATTTTCGTTCGCATGCGAGAGGTAGAAGAATTTCTCCTCTTTTCCCTTTCTGTAAGATTGCATTCCAGGCTCCCTCTCTCCCTCTTTCTTTCGTTTCTCGGATCGAGTTCTCTATCTCTTGCTTTTTCCTTCGAAGTGAATCTTTCCTCGGTCCTTTCTTTGCTTTTGGTTTCAATGGCTTAACTTCCTTGGTTTTGGTCTCATCGTTCTCGCTCTATAGGTGGTGAAGAGCGTGAGAACTACATTCACGAGCACAAACAACCTCCAGGACCTGGCCGAGCGGCGAAGCATTGTGTGCAACAATGCGGACTTGGAGAGAACTGATATGTTGGGTAAGAGAAACCTCCTCCTTTTTCTTAGAGTGAGTTTCGTGGATTTTCGAGAGAGGGGAGCTCGCATTCTAGGCTCCAGTTTTCGGGAGGAGAGCTAGCATAGTTTCCTCTAGGGAGAGCTAGCATCTTTCATAGCTTACTTCTAGATCCGGAGTTCTTTCGATTAGAAGTTTGAGTATCGGGGTCTAGTTTTTCGACGAGAACCTACTATGTTTTTGGCGAGTATCCAAGCCCAAGCTGCCATCCTCGTCCTCGACTTCCAGAGGAAGTGGCCTCAGCAAGCCTTCCGGATCTCGCCAGCGCTCAAATCCTTCCTGGCCAAACGAGACCGAGATGGTACGTCCTCCAGGTATTTTTTTTCTTTTCTGGATCGATCCAACTCTTTTTTCGATGGATTGATCTATAGGACCAGGCGAGCGATTTGCGCCGCCAAGCTCTGAGAATTTTGCTCCAGTGTGAATCCCGCTTTTCCTCAAGGAGAGATTAAAACAAAGGTATTCCGGGGTTTAAGAGGAAAGAGTGGATAAATTTTGTACATATGGTTTAACCTCATCCCTTTGTTTTCTTTTTCTAGAAGGTAGATAAATATCGTGAAAAAGTAATTCGAAAAACATGACCTAGTTTAAGTTCGTACTGGCCATCGTCATCTTTGGACGAACAAAGCATATTCCGACGGGAATTTGGCATATTCTGGTATGCCTACTCCCAGGAACCCTAAAATCTCTTTGGCATTTTGGATATGGCGGCTTTGTCCTCTTCGTCGTCCTCCCTCATCCAATCCTTCCAGCACGACTGCGGCGGCGATGATCCCTCCTTGCGGCGCGGCGCGGCGATCCTGGGCCTCAGCTCCATCGCTCGCAGTAAGATTTCTCGTGGGTTCGAGAGGCAATGTATGTGATCGTGGCTCTGGCAGTGGGGTGCGCGGCGAGGAAGGGCTTTCTTCTCGCCAGGGTTTCATCGCACGCCGAGAGGTAGAAGAAATCTCTAATTCTCGTGGCCAGGAGCTAAAAATCTTTGCAATGCTGCCACAGCGCCGTAGCGGCCAAGCACCAGGAGGTGCCCAGTGGATTCACCAGGAGCTGCCGGATCTCGGAGGAGCTCCAGAGGATAATCGGCAAAGAAGAGCTTCCGCGGCCTCAAGTAAGTAACCATCTCCTCTTTTTCCTCTTTAGATTCTTTGTTTTCTTTTAGATTGCATTCTAGTTAGCTCTCCCCTCTCGTTTCTTCCTTCTTTCTCTCCTGGATCTAGTTCTCTTATCTCTTGCTTGTTCCTTCCAAGCAAATTTTTCCTTCTGTTCTTTCATCCATTTCGATGCTCTTTGTTTTGCTTGTTTCTATGTTCTTTGGTTGTTTGTTCTTAACTTCTTTGTTCTTCCTTGTAAATTTTGGTCTCATCGTTCCCGTTCTATAGGTGGTGAAGAGCGTGTGGAACTACATTCACGAGCACAACCTCCAGGACCCGGCCGACCGGCGAAGCATCGTGTGCAATGCGGATTTGGCTCAAGTTTTGGGCGTGGAGAGGACTGATATGTTCCAGCTGAGCCGATTACTCTCCAGGCATCTCACATACACGGGTAAGAGAAACTTCCTCCTTTTTCTTAGCCTCGAGAGATTCTTCCGAGAGTGTTTAGGAGAGGAGTGCTAGCATTTTAGTTTTCGTGAGAGGGGATCTAGCATTGTTTTCATAGTTTCCTTCTAAGGAGAGCTAGCATTTTTCATAGTTTACCACTAGATTCATAAGAGATTAAGAAACTTTTATTGGGAGTGAAGTTCGGTCTTGTTTTCTCGACGAGAACTTACTATGCTCTGGCGATGGTGGCAGGACCAACTGGAGTATCCAAGCCAAAGCCGCCGAAGTCACCATCCTCGTCTTCGTCTTCCAGAGGAATTGGCCTCAGCAAGCCTTTTCGGATCTCGCAAGCGCTCAAATCCTTCCTGGCCACGAACGAGACGGAGATGGTGCGATCGGACGTGGTGAAGCTCATGTGGGATTACATCAAAGAGCACAACCTTCAGGTAAGAAGAAAAAAACAGTTTTTTCTTGATCGATCCAACACTTTCTTATTTTTCCAGGATCCAGAGGACAGGAGGCGAGTGATTTGCGACGCCAAGCTCAAAGAACTACTCCAGTGTGACTCGCTGCTTGGAATCGGCATCACCAAGTACCTCTCACCCCATTTTCTCAAGGATTAGAAGGAAAAGGAAAGAAAGGAAAGTTTTCTTTTGCTCGTCCAGATTTTTTGGTTTCTGTGAAGAGCCCTATAATGTGAAAGGATTGATTAGGGCAACGAGGCTCTCTCTTCTCTTTGCGCGAATTGTGATAGATCCGAGCTGCCGCTGCTGGATTTGTGGCTCTTGGATGGACTAGGCGATGGATCCGCCAATGGATCTCACGCGAGATCAGGTAGATTCCCCCCATTGCGATGGATTTTTCTCAGCGAAAACCCCATTGCAGGTGTTGACGAGAGACATTCCATGGGAGAATTACCTCAATGCGAAGCTCATCTCCAGCACGGATTTGCAGCTGCTGAGGCGCTACGATCACAAGCCCGAGGATGCGCAGATTGCTATGCTAGAAGAGGTAATTGGGAATTTTCGTTGCTAGAATCTAGTTTCCTGGATTGAATTGGATTGGAGAGGATTGATTTCTTTGTTTTTGGCAGAATGGTGTTGCTTATGTGAGAGTGTTCTTGAGACTACTTGACAACATCACGAAGGAAGAAACGGTGGAGTATGTGGTAGCGTTGGTGGATGAAATGCTTTCTGGTAAGTCCATAGCTTTTGGAAGGATGACTGAGCCAAACTTCTTTGAATTCATGCCAGTGGATCCGATAAAGCATGCTGCATTGTTCCACGATGAAGAATTTTCTCCCGAGGAGATTTACCGGCCTTTCTTGAGGTGAGGATTTGTTGATTCGATGGATAGGCACTGAGTCTTCCTTTTCTTTCCCCCAGTTTGTTGTCCAGGAAAAATTGGTTTTTGCAAGAGAAAGCTTGCAAGATTCTGACCGTCTTGATCAGGTAGCTTGTTTTGAGACTTTGCGAGAGAATTTGTCTTACTTTTTCTTGTTTGAAAGCGCTCGTCCACGACAACAGGCGGTGGAGGTCTCACAAAAGCCTGGGCCTTCCAAGAACGTATTGCAGGATGTCCTTCAGAAACTTGTCTCGTGGCTTTGTATTCAGGTAATATAGCTACTGTTTCCATCGATCCACCGAATGATTTGTTTTTTCTATCTCTCGGCAGCTAAGACATCCTTCTCATCCAAGCCGAGCAATACCAACAGCCGTGAGCTCTTTGGCTACTCTGCTAAGAGACCACGGTGTGAAATCCATGTTTGTCCAACTTGAGGGCGTGAAACTCCTGACTCCATTGATATCTCCCGCAACAACACAGCAGTACATTCAGGTTCGTGATGCTGTGCTCTCAACTCAACTGGTTTTTAACAGCGGTGGTCTTGTTTTCCGTTTCTAGCTACTGTACGAGGCAACTCTGTGCATGTGGCTCCTCTCGTTCTACAGCTTGGCCGTGGACGCTATAGCAGCCACTCGAGCCTTACCTCGGCTGGTGGAAGTCGCGAGAACGTCCTCCAAAGAAAAGGTTTGTTTTCATCTTTCTTTGTGTTACTTTCGAAACAATAGCGAGAGTGTTGCAGGTTGTGAGAGTGGTTATTTTGACGCTGCGAAATCTTCTCACGAAAGGAACTTTTGCACGAGACATGGTCGAGCTCGGGATGCCAAAGATCATCCAGAACCTTAAGATGCAAGCATGGAGTGACGAGGTAAGAGCTTTTGCTTTTTCAAGCTTGCATATGTAAATACGTTTTGCTGGACAGGATCTCACCGAAGCTCTCAATCTCATGGAAGAGACACTGAAAAAGAACCTCAAGCTGCTGAGTTCGTTCGAGAAGTACAAGCAGGAGGTGCTGTCCGGTAACTTGGATTGGACTCCGATGCACAAAGATCCTCTCTTCTGGAAAGAAAACATCAAGAAATTCGAGGAGAATGACTTCCAGGTATAGTGTTGAAGTTCTTTAAAGGTGGGATCTAAGTTCTTGTGGTTTTTGCTCCAGGTTTTGCGAATACTTGTGACCATTCTCGACAACTCTCGTGATCCGAGAACGCAGGCCGTCGCGTGCCAAGACATTGCGCAGTTTATCCAGTTTCATCCCGCTGGCCGCGGCATTGTCTTGGACATGAGAGCCAAAGACCGAGTGATGCGTCTAATGAACCACGATAACAGTGAAGTCAGAAAGGAGGCTCTGATTTGTGTTCAGAAGCTTCTGTTGAATGCAAAGTATGCAAGTTTTATGCAAAATAAATAAAAACCAAAATGAATAAATAAATAAATAGTAAATAATATAATTAGGCATTAGCGACATTAACATTAATAGTGAAATGATTTCATCACCTTCAAGGATCAAACGAAGATCTAAATGCTACCACCACCACCTTTGTATCAACTCCAGGTACACAGCCTCGTCTCCATTTGTCACTTCCAGGTATTCGAGCAAGCCCGGCATGCCACCAGTAAGGTAATGGATGCTAGCAGACGTCTTGAGGCTCTCTGGTAACGACGACAAAGCCAGCCATGTCTTGAGCTCCATCTGGCTGAAAGGCCCGTCAAGCACAAACTTCTGCCTGTCCAGGATCAGCTTCCTCTTGAGACTTTGCTCCTTATGATAGCGTTTGGCTGAGATCTCAACCAAGAGGCGGCGCCGCACAAAGTCGAGTATGCGTTGTCTAGTTTTGTCCTCGTTTCCTCACTGTCCCCGTGCTGGGCGTCAAACACCTCCCAGTCATCCACCACGAACAGAAGCTGCTCCCGTCTGCGGCCACACCAGAAGGAGAGCTCATTCAGATCTCGCAGCTCCTGGCTTGCCGTCTCGTGGCCATGGAATGCCATGAGAATTCCCTCCCACACAGCGGCAGAAAGCTCCGGACTAGATCTCCAGCGTTGAGGAAGACAACATGCCTGTCTCCAGACTGCTGTATGTGACTGCAAACTGCAGCAACCAAATACGACTTGCCCAATTCCATTGCACCCATCACTGAAATCTGGTGCCCTCGCCGTTCTTTTGACAACTCGAGGACACGCTCATACAGCTCATGAGCAGCCCACAAACCTGTAAACGTTCTACCGCCCCTCCTCCGTTGAGGCCATTGGGGAGTATGGCCAGATAACGCTGATGGAGTAGCTGGTGTCCCACAGGTACGAAGGGTCATAAGTTGGCGACCGAGCATTTTGTTTTTTCCAAGCTCTTCTCTGCTGTTTGGTGCAGACTTTGTAGCTGCATACACCATGTTGAAAATCAGGGCAAATAATAGAAACCTCAAGAATAAAACTTATATATATTTTTATATAGAACAAATAGTAAGTTCAACCCTAAAAGGTCAATTAAATACCCAAAATCATTTGAATGTGTACTTATCATTTATTCAAATAAATTTCACAAATAATTATTGAGAAATTTAATTATTATATAAAATTATTCAATTTAATTATTATATAAAATTATTCAATTTTATTAATATTAAAATTATTTAATTTTATTAATATTAAAATTATTTAATTTTATTAATATTAAAATTATTTAATTTTTATTATTAAAATTATTTCTTGATA